CTGTACTTAGACATATAGATAAGTAGACTAACTATGGATCAAAAAAGATCAGTGTTCTGGGCATCACACTGTAACATTAAGCTATCAGTCCGACGGTTATGTTCTGTGTGCTGGGCCTATCATTACCAGGTCCTTCCCCTATCCCCACGGCCATTGTTAAGTGTTCAGAGACCCCACCTCGCATGAAGGGTGCTACATAATTGCAAGTTGTTGCTGTTGTTGTTGTAACTTGATTACTGGAATAATCAACTTGATAATCCTTGCATTCGATTACAGCACTTTTCACATCAGGAGGACGTTTCATAGTGTTTTACAGGAGTTACTTAAAGTATAGTGACTGGAGTATTTTGTAGGTAGTTGACTTCCTTTATAAAGACTGTCTTGGAGAACAGTATTTTAAAGGATAAATTCCTCTTGGTGACATCATCCGTAGACATGGAGTCAACTTCCACATGTATGCAGATGACACCCAACTCTACCTCTCTGCCTCCACTCATCAAGTCCTGGATGAGAGCTAACGTTCTTCAGTTGAATGTCAACAAGACCGAGGCTCTCCTGATTGGCTCCCATCAGTACCTCCTCACCTCAGGTGTTGACAGCCTCACCATCCATGGTTGCACCCTCCACCTTACTAAGCCAGTCCAGAACCTTGGGGACTTGTTTGACCCTCAACTATCCTTTCTACCCCACATCTGTGCCATGACCCGCTCTGCCTTCCCCCATCTCCGCAACTTCACCCGGCTCTGCCACGATCTCACTCCCCAGGCCACTGAGACCCTACACGCTTTCATTACATTGAGGCTCAACTATGCAAACGCCTTGCTTGTTGGCCTCCCCAACTCCTCTATCCAAAGACTGCAGATCATCCAGAACTAACTCTGCAGCCCATGTCCTCTCCTGCATTAGGCTCCGTGACCCTATCACCCCCATCCTCGCCTGATTCTACTGGCTTCCCATCACATCACGACTCTACTGGCTTCCCATCACATCACGACTCTACTGGCTTCCCATCACATCACGACTCTACTGGCTTCCCATCAAACAGAGGCTACGGTTCAAGATCCTGGTCCTCACCTTCAAAGCCCTCCATGGTCTTGCTCTCCCCTACCTCTATTACCTCCTAACCCCTACCATCCTGCCCGCTCCCTCCACTTAGCAGGCTCCGGCCTCTTCACGTTCCCCGCCTCGCTAGCCCCACTACTATTGCCGGACGGGCCTTCTGCCACTCTGCCCCCATCCTCTGGAACTCCATCCCGCAGTCCGTCCACCTTGCCCCCTCCCTTGTCTCCTTCAAGACCCATCCCAAGACCCTCCTCCATTTCCCTGGTCCCGGATCAGTGTTAAAGATCCCATGACACTATTCAAAAAGAGAAGGGAGTTTCTCCCAGAGTCCAGGTCAATAAAAATGGACATTCACTTCATGGTGTTTTGTGGGACATTGTGTGTAAATTGGGTGCTGCGTTTGCCTACAAAATACACAATTTGCTGTATAACCTGTGAAGCGCTTTTAGGCATCTCCTGATGTGAAAGGTGCTGTATGAAATGCAAGGATTCTTAATATTATTTAATTTGCACCAGCAACAAATAACAGTACGATGAATTGCCAATTAATTTGAATTTGGGAGTAAATTTGCCTCGGGTGAATGTCAAAGAATTCTGTGACACTGTTTAAAAAGAGAAGGGAGTTTCTCTCATTATCCTGGGCAGCAATCTACCAGATAAATTGGTCATTCACTTCATAGTTGATTGTGGAATTGTTAAAATGTGTTAAAATTGGCTGTTGTGTACAAAATAATAGGTTTTGATACATTTTGACACAAATTAGGTGTAAATTATTTGAGATGTTAAAGCTCCTTTCTCTTTTTGAACCATGCCATGGGAACTTTTGGGTGGGCCAAGACAGCAAAACATCCATCTAAAGAGGACCTCAGTTCAATATCTCAACCAAAGGGCATCACACACCCAGAGTGACAGCCTGGACTGTGAACTCAATTCCCCGATGTGGGAGTTGAACCCTCCCCCACAGCGAACATGCAACTAACTGAACCAATGTTTGGGCTATGAGAAAAACTTGCATTTTTAATGGTTTATTATGGTGTTTAAGGAAGATGAAATTTATAATTGAACTTCAGGACTCATGCTACAACCCACCTCACTTGACATGTGTCAGACACCTGGCTGTCCAAAAAACTCCATAGGTACAAAGAGTTTCTATTAAACTCTCTCTCCTAAAACTGTGATTTTACTTTGGATCTAAACTGTTATGCAAGGCACAAAACTGTTAATGCCTTCAAATAGGCACTCCTAAAACACACATTTCTTGTTTCTTCCTCAATAAGACCCAGAGCAAAGGAAGTCTCTTGAATATTGATGAATGGAAGAGCTGAGGAGCTTGGTTTTAGGACATCTGTAAATTTAGCACAGCAATCTGTCGTCACACACATCTGAACGCTGCCATCAATCTGTTTTTATCTTTGAGCTGCTTGTTAAAAGAAATATCAGTCCTGCAATGATGGTGTGTAATTGACACGCCTGATAACTATAGCATGTTTTCACCCTACAGATTCAAAAGGATAAGGATGCAACTGAAGCTTTTTGGCAACAGATACCAGTTGGATTTCTGGCTTCAAGTAAACTCATTACCATGGTTGACAAGTTTCATGCAGTCACTAGAAAACTCGAAGCTGCCCTGCAGCTTGAAACTGAATTTCTCAGTTTATAAACATAACACAAGATGTTTTAATATTACCTTATAAGACCGCAATTTGCATTTGCCTAGATAACATTTTATATTAAATACTAGTTTATTATTTGTTTTCAGATCATCGTCCCTTTTTTTGATTGTGGCATTAATCTGCCTCATGTTTCAAGTGAACATTGAGACCTACCCACCACTGCTATTCTGCCACATGCGGAAACAAACAAACATTTTTCTATTGGTTAAATTGGTTTATATTTCCTCTTCATTCAAATTTGTAACATGCAGATCACACCTTACATTTTTATAATATATTTAGTTGATATTTCCAACTCAATATGCCATGTTTTAAAAAAGCAAGTTTTGTGTGTTGGCAAAGGTTTTCCATCTGACTTATTTATTTTTAAGAAATCGACTGGTAGAATTTTCTTCCATTGAAAATAATGGACGTATAAGAGGAAAAAACCCACAGAGCATTAAGACGAATATTACTAATCTTTAATACACCCATTTCTTTCAAATAAAGAAAGCAAAAGACCATTAATATATTTTCTTTGGGAGGCGCAAGCTAAATGCATTGGTTCAACAATTCAGAAGGGGGGTGCGGGTGACAGAGCTTGGGCCTGCTTAAAAGGGATGCCTCTGTCTCTCTCTGGGCTAGAGACAATATATTTTTGCATTATATCAGTTTGTTTCAGCTGTGATTTACAAATATTTTTTTCCAAAATTTGTTTGTGTCAGAGGCGAAAGTAAACAGGAGCTTTACTTCCTATATAAAGCTACATGAATAGCACTCTGTCTGTTTGGTGATGTTCTGCATGAAGAACATGAGGCTGAGAGAGACTCTGCTTAGACATCAGTATAAAACACAAAATACTGCAGCTGCTGGAATCCGAAACAAAAACAGAGAGAGCTGGGAAAACTCAGCAGGTCAGGCAGCATATATGGAGAATGGAAAGTGAGCCAATGTTTTGGGTCCACGACCCTTCGTCAGACATCAGTGTAGTCTGGCTCCAGTTTTCTGAAACATGCTGAGAAAAAATGCCAATATATAAAATTGTGTCCTTAACTGAACAATTGATTATACAAATATCTTGTTAAGCTATTCAAGCAATCCTGTGCGATTTATCCAAATATCATTTATGTTGACATTGGTGTACCAAGATATGCAAATAATGCTGCTGTTCATCAAGCCAGAGTCAGTCAATATGGATTGTGAGTTGTTCTCATTTCCTAACAATGGGAGGCTAACACACAAAGCACTGTGTAGACAGCTTTTTAGTCACAAAAGGGGGTTCGCACTCCAACTTGCTAGTCAATGGAAACAGAGTCTCTTTAGTTTCTCTAACTTCCTATCTCTCTGTCATTTGATTTAGGTATTTAAAATAACCAAAGGAATTCACAGGTTGGACAGTGGACCACTCTCCTCTCTGTCAAAGAGATCCATTACAAACGGGGCACAACATTAAATTCAGAAGTAAGACAGTTACAACTGAGGCCAGGAAGCATTTCTCCCCACTGAAGTTTGTGAAGGTGTAAAATGTTCTGCCCAGAAAGCTATAGAGGTGGAATCAAAGTGACGTGTAAAAGAGAAAAGGACTTGGATAGTGGAGATATTCATTTATGTATTAAATATAAAGATATATTGTAAAGATATTTGTTTACGTTGAAAGCCATCTCAAGACATCGAGATTAAAAGATTTGCCAGGATTGAATACACTGGAGTTGCTTATGTCAAGAGAATCAGTCACTTTGCACTGCCTCTTCCTCTTAAAACTGCTGTCAGCGGGATGAGTAATTAAAAAGTGGTTGCTTGACATCTGTATTTTCATCTCTCCTTTTCTATTTGCCACATGTTGGTAAATGCTCAACAACAGACTGAAAAGGAATGACAAGCTGCAACCAGTAACTGACTAATCCATCAGCAACAATGTTAAGAGGCAGCCATGCTGCAAAATGATCCTTTGACCTATGTTACTCAATTCACTTGTTTCCACTGAATTTGATGGGAACAAAGCTCTACAGAGCAGCCGAGTAGAATAGCAATGAAGCATTTTTTTCAATTTCAGTGAAGTACTACACTCAACACATGATCCTGCACTGAAATTCCCTGATTAATACAAGCTTTATATCACATTGATACTTGTTGTTTTCCATAACGGAAGAATAAAGCACAAATCCTCCACCAATGACATTTCTTCACATACTAAAAAAAGCGCACGTTGGCTTTCTTAAAGCTTTCAACAATCCTGGTGTCCCTCGACCTGCCCCCTTCCTCCCCACATTCTGCCTCAAGACTTACCTCTTTGGCTGCGCTTTGGGTCACCTCCACTTTGATTGTCATTTCTCCCCTCCCCATCCTCTTCAGTTACCCCGTCCCCAGCTCACGTGTCTAGCCAGCTGTGTCAAACATCCTGAGACGTCCTCCTAATGTGAAAGATGCTGCATAAATGCAAATTGTATTGTATATCATGCTATAATAATAATCCTTGCATTTGATATAAAGCCTTTTTGTGTTAGAAGGACATCACAAGGTGGTTCACAGGATTTATGACAAAGTGTAGTGATTGTATATTTTATAGGTGACCTGTATATCACAGATATATATTCTGTATAAGGGGAAAATTGCACCTGGGTCTAGATTTACTCTAGTCATGTAGTATTTTAGATCATCCAGAATTTGGTTAATTCTTAAATACAGCCCTATTTTTTAAGCTGCTTTTCTAAAAGTTGTTTGTGAAATGTTAAACCGACATTCCATCTGCTTGCTCAGGTATGTGTTAAAGATCCCATGGCCCTACTTAAAAAGGGAAGGGAGTTTCTCCCGGTGTTGTGGTCAACAATTCCCTACACAAAATGGGTCATTAATGTCATAGCTGTTTGTGGGGTCTTGTTGTGCACAAGTGGGCTGCTACATTTGCCTAAAAATACACAGTCACTACACTTCACAGATGTTCTCCCAATGTGAAAAGCGCAAAACTGAATGTAAGATTTATTATCGTTATTACTACTCTGTTGTACTGCCACTAAATTAAATCGCTGGATTTTGAAATATATTTCAAGTTCTAGAGTTTGTGCAATTTGCCTGCTGAGAAAGGATCTTCACCTAATTTATTAACTTGGAGCAAGACAAATTATTATAAAGTAGGAATATGTAGGTCTAAAAAATATCACCGTCACCCTAATTAAAGAAAATTGTGTTTAGTATTTCTTGCCATTTTCTGACCTTTATAACCACCAATATAATAAATCACATTATCTACAAATATAATCCTATCTCATAGTTCTCAATCAATTTATTTGCTAGATAACTACCTAATTCTATCTTGAATTGGCTGACACAGCCTTCCTCTACTTCCTTCCTGGGTTGTGCATTTCCACATATTCACTGCTCTCTGTGTAAAGTAATTAAATCTCAACTGTTCACCTGCCCACTCTTCTGTGATTGAGTCCATATCCCTGGATCATTATTCACTGTGGATTTCAAGACTTCATTCCAAACATAATGGAGAAGATCTTAAAGATATTACACAGAATGCATTTATTTCTGATTACAAAAAGTGCAAACACAAAGCTATCACTGCTAGGGTTCAGTAGCAGAGTTGGTACCATCTTAGTACTTTAACATGAACTATAATGTAATCAGGTCTTCAGCTTATGTGAGCTATTTCTCTCAGCCTCTGGCTTTCTCGCTCAGTATTTACCCTTCCCCCATCTCTTTTGGAGAAGTACAGTTTTTTGCAACCTTATTCAGATCCTTTATTGCTCTGTGCCAACCCTCTGCAACACTGGACACTTTTGAACATTGAATGACTCTTCACAACTTTTCAGTTCCAATTGCCTTCCTATGAAACACATAAGATGATACACAACTCTATCTTTCTGTCCCCACCCTCAACTCCAGGACTATTGCTGTCCTGACAGACTGTCTGTCGGACATCAAGTCCTGTATGACGGCAAATTTCCTACAGTTGAATGTGAACAAGACAGAGGCCCTCCTGATTGGTTCACACCAGCGCCTCAGCACCTCAGGCTCTGGCAACATCAACCTCCATGGTTACACACTACAACTTTCCAGCCAGTCAGGAACCTGGGTGTTCGACCCTCAACTGTCTTTTCTCCCCCACATTCAAGCCATGACCCACTCTGCCTTCCCTCGCCTCCGTTACATCGCCCGACTCTGCCACTACCCTCAGCCCACTGAAACTCTTGTTCATGCCTTCATCACCCCCAGGCTTGACTATGCAAACACCCTGCTTGTTGGCCTTCCCAACTCCTCCCTCCACAGGCTGCAGATAATCCAGAACTCTGCAGCCCATGTCCTCTCCCGCACCAAACTCAGAAGCCCCATCTCCCCCACTCTCGCCCGACTCCACTGCCTCTCTATCCTTCAGAAGATCCAGTTCAAGATCCTGGTCTTCACCTACAAAGCCCTCCATGGCCTCGCCCCACCCTACCTCTGCAACCTCCTAACAACCTACCAACCCGCCCGTTCCCTCCACTCAGCCGGCTCTGGCCTGCTTCACGTCCCCCGACCCACCCGCCCCACCATTGGTGGGAGAGCCTTCAGCCACTCTGCCCCCAACCTCTGGAATTCCATCCCCCAGTCCCTCCGCCTCGCCCGCTCCTTAGCGTCCTTGAAGTCCCGCCTCAAGACCCTTTTCTTCGACCATGCAATCGGCCACCCCCCTTCCCCTCCCCTCCCTTCTCCCCGCATGACCCCAGCTCGTGTCTGAAATGCTGTACTCTGTCCAGTGCCTTGGGACATCCTCCCGATGTGAAAATGTAATCTGGTTATTGTAATTTTTCTCACCATGTTAAAAGCATGAAAACATGTCAGTCAAAAGATGCATGGCCTTCTGTGTTTAGTATTCCTCACCATCTTCTGACCTTTATAGCTGCCAGCAAAACAAATTATATTATTTGCATAGTCCTATTGTTATTGCTGGAAGAGTAGAATAAAAAGCTTATCACAAATGAAAGGAACGTCATAGCTCACATGTGAAAAGTGAGGTTTAAAGTTTCTCATTGTGTCTTCTGATTTTGCCTCAATTTAGCTTCTACCAGTGTATCTTTCCATTGCGCTGAATATATTTGTAATGTATAGGTGTCATTCTGGCTCAGTTAGTAGCTCTCTCATCGCTGATTCACAAGACTGTGTGTTCAAGCCTGGTCACTTGGCCAACAATTCCCCAGGAAAAAATATTAATTTCCTTCATGGTTGTTTGTGGAACAGTGCTGTGTGCAAATTGGTTGCTGCATTCGCCTTCAAAATACAATCACTATACTTTACAGTAAATCCTGTGCAGCCGTTTGGGATGTCTTGTCAACATGATAAGATGCTATGTCAAATGCAAGGATTATTATTATATAAATAACTTTAAACATAAGTACAGTGTTAAGAATATTATGATTTTTAGATTTAGACATCTGCGCCATCGATCATATGTATTTGCTAACCAGCAACAGATCGGCAAAATATTGATGTTAGAATCTAAAGCTTTATCAACTGTAACCATTTGAGTTAGTTTTCATTTAGACACTGGTCTTTATTTAGACCTGATGGGCCATGTACTTGCAAAGATCATTCATTCATACTCCTAGCCAGGCAATGTAATGAAAAGTCTATAAATCTCATAACCTTCTTTGGTATTAATAAATCGTCTTTGCCACTTCAGCACCCAAAATTAAATGACATCAGCACATTTTATGCTAGTGGGTGAATTGATCGCCTAAAGACAGAAACACAGTGGAAAGGAGTGCCAACAAAAGACAGTAAATGTTGTTAATTATTTGGGAAATAATAAAATAATAATAATCCTTACATTTGATATAGTCTTTATCACTTCATCGAGATGTCTCAAAGCACTTCACAGGATACACTGTAAAGTGAATTGACTGTATTAGGTAGGTGAAACTTAAAAGAAATATACAATCTTAAGTTATTAATACAAACATTACTTTTAAATTATACACTTTCAAAGTATAAGTATCAGTACATCGTAAGCTACTTAGTCAAGCCATCACCACCATAAACTGAATTTACGGATATAGATTTGTGTGCCAGCTTGACTAAGATGGTAGCATTCTTGCCTCGGTCAAAAGGTTATGGGTTCAAGTCAGGAATTCATCTTCTGGTCTATGCTAGGAATGCTAACTGTCAGAGATTCACCTCCTTTGTTTGAGATATTAACCCAAGGTCCTCTCTACCTGTTTGAGTAGATGTTAAAGGTCCCAAGACATTACTTGAAAAGAGAAGGAGTCCTGGACAACAATCTTCCAGGCTATTCATGAGAGCTTGTTGTTGCAAACAGCTACCGTGTTTGCCCACAAAAACAAGCACTAAACCTGATAGTAAATGGCTCTGAAACATTTCAGTGTGAAAGTGGCATAAACTGGAAATTCTTTCTGCATAACATTGCATTCAGTTTGTCCTTTCTTACATGTCTTTTTCTCTTTATTCCACTCCATAATATGTATGTATGTAGAGGATACACAGTTCGTAACTGCAGAATCCTACTTTGGCTCCATGAATGATGTTCCTCTGAAGGGTTTTCTCAAAATAAATATTTAACGCAATAATAATAATCTTTGCATTTTATACAGTATCTTTATCACATTGTTGAGACATCACAAAGTGCTTCACATGATATACTGTAAAGTGGAGTGACTGTATTTTGCGGGTGAAACATGGCAGTCAATTGCGTATAGCTGTGTCCCACAAACAGTCGGGCATTGAGTGACATTGTTTTTGGAGTAATGATGATTAATTAATAAATAATTAGCAATAGTAATGATTTCAACAATAGCAGGATGTATGCTTAGATTGAAGCTTTGTTGTTGAACATTGTAAGTATAGATGATCTTACTCACAGCTTGCTTCCGATATTGGACCAATCCTGCTGAATTCTTCATTGTTCCTTACCTTTGCGATTTCTTCCATTCATATTATTCTGCCTGCGCAGGCTTTTATTAACTATTGAAGAATACAATTTCTATTAACAACACAGGTAAGCTAGTTTTAAAAGTCAGAGAGAAAGAGATTGGAGCCTGAAAATATGAAATTAGGAGTTAAAAAGAAACAATTTATTTTGTGGATTGTCTAAGAATTAGCATGCATTGGGAAATTTCAAATCATTTTCTTATTTCAATGTGTGTTTTTGTGCTCATACAAATCAAGCTAAATCAGGTTTGTTTTACTGCAAAGCACTTCCAACTCCACTGAGAAAAGATTTCTAATTGGGAATGGAATGTTTCTCTCAAGATTTTCTCAACAACTTTAGAAAACAAAGACCTAAAAGTAAAATACTCTGAATCATCCTGTTTCACACATCAGAGTAGCACTGAAACATTCTCTAAGTAATATTGTCACGATTTCTGAGTGTTTTTATGCAGTGAAGCTACGCCGATAGGAACGGGTT